ATCGTATAAAAAAATAAGCTATAAAAATCACCTAAATTTTCAGAAAAAAATAAATCGATGACAGCCATAAACTCTAAAATGTTGTGTCTGATCAGTGTTGCTGACCCACATTATTTAAATGCGCCAATATTTTAAAGGCTAATGTTAGCTACAGAAGTAATTTTATGCAAGACATGGAATGAGCGAGATGCATATACATAATAGATAAGTCACAGAGCAAGATAGTATCTCTCGTTACCATCACATGACAGTTTTGAACTATTGCATAGCTGTTATCAACTTCAGACATTGAAATCTATGTGGCCAGTATTGTATTAAAATTTCGTATTGCATACCATAACGCGCACTATTTTCCGTTCCACCCGGCAGCCGCAACACGCATATCAGTAAAAGGTAATACAAAGTTATCGCGGGAAACAATAATCCGAGATAATGGATTAGCTCACAGCCGTATATTTATAAACACCGCTATCGATATCGATATTATTAGTGGACGTCAAAATCGAATTATTCTTGATCGATTATCGTCGACACAGATTACTGGCCGGTAGCCGTTTTAGATAACAATAATTGTATTTGTGCTTTGATTTATTTTTTTATATTATAATTTTATTTTATGCCAGTAAGATTATCTTTATAGCGTTATCAATCCTTGGAATGTAATATGCAATGAACCCGGGATGTAGTTGATTTGTGTATTTCCAAGAAACCGAAATATTTCGTAATTTTTTTTGCATATCGCACGGATGTAACACGGCCGTTGAAGTACCAGGACCACAGAATATCAGATATAAGTCTGCACCCTTTCAATGTTATTATTAAATAGTACTAGCTACAGGTCACAAAGGTGCAGCTTTTTTAAATAAAAAAGACAAATTGCATGTTAAAAAAATTTTAAACATCGTACTTGAAATTATTTTGGAATATTTATAGCAGAGTCGCATAACACAAAAAATAAAACGTTCTACTCGTGCTCTTTTCATCATAAAATCCAAAATAATTATACACGTAAGGGTTTTCCATAGTTTGTTTTATAGATTAAACAATAAAGTAAAGGACGTGGATGTCTAATTGTAGTTTGTTGCAGATAAACCCATATTTACCTACTGTTTATCTGTCTCCAGTTATTATATCTTTGCCTATTCAAATTGATTGTGATTTGAAATACATAAGTATTTATTGTTCTATTTAACATACTGACATGTTTGAAGATAAGTAGCGCAGTGGAAATTCACTGTGCGATTCCAAACAAGGCTTGTCTACATTCTCAAATATGATATGATAAAGAAACAGATTAAAATCTTTATTATGCTACGAAAGTCACAATTTACTTATTGTCAAAATCAGAAAGAAGCAAAAAAACTAAATTTTTGAACCGAGGGGTCCACATAAACTATTAAAAAAGAAATAGTGCTAAAGGGCTACAGGGAATGGCTATAGGAGGTAGGTACCTCCTCCTCCTATAGCCCATAAGTCATTAACATTAACTTACTTGACTTCAAGTCCTATGTCCCCGTAGTGGGGCAGAGGACAGTCATCATCATTGATGCATGTAAAATTTTGAAATGAGCTTACGAAAAAAAGTTTCGAAATCTCTCATTTATCGTAAACTTTTTAACCCAATACGCTTATTAATTTGAAAGTTATTTTAATTTGTATGTAACATATTAGCATAAAATGAAAACAGATAAAATATTTTTGGAAATTTGGATTTTATTTTTCTTAGTGCATATTCTAAAATACAATCAGTAATAACCACGTAGAATTTCATAAGAACGAATTGAAGGGGTTTCTAAGCGCCTGTGGTTTTTCTGAACCGAATCTCTGTTGTTCATTGCGACATTGCTCCAAAGAAACTTTGTTGCAATCAATTCATTCAATTTATGTTTACTAATATTTGTATTGATTTTAAATTTACAATCTTTGCGATTATCTTACTATTAAAACCGAAGTACTAGTAACAAATTTCTTCTTTGAAATAAATGTTAGATTTACATTATTAATACTATGAATATTCATCTGGTCATCTAATCTTCAATCCATTAGGTCAATAGTCAAAGCTTTGGATTAGAATCTATCCATGAAACCCTACCTTAATATAAACCGTGGCATAGAACATAATATGGTTGTTGTAGAGATAATTTGAATCACTTATTTTGTTCATAAAATATCTCTCAAATACACATTAAATAAAACGTTATAAATAATATCGACAATTGAAAATAACAAAAACGTGGAGTATAAAACACTCACCCGCGACTATCCGCGCGAAATTACAAAAACTTCACAGTAAGCATATGTGTTCTTCCAGACTATGTTCTATATCTATGCCAAATTACATGCGTACGTTCTGGGATTGCATCCATCCATCCATCCATACATTAGCATTTATAATATTAGTAAAATGGAAGCCAGGTGTGTTTATAAAGTGACAAATGAAAATCAATGATCTCTGTCCAATCATTAATCAACTGTTACTTTAAAAAGTCAAACAAATAAATATTTATTTTTATTATACTTACTACAAGCTATTGGCAGCATCGTGAAGATCTATTAAGATTACAAATCTGATTTCGCACCTCATTACTATTATTTTTTTATTTCTTTCTGTTTGAATACGACCGGACCAACCAATTATTTTGAATGCACTAATTTCGAATTAATGACAGTGATTAAGAAACGACTATATTAGCTATGGTTTAATGCCTTCGATCTCAAAACCATTAACAAGCCACGTTCCGCTTTCTTAAATACTTCAATGGAATTCCATAATTAATATTAGATTTGCATTCCATATTACTAAATGTCATATTTCGTAATAGAAGTTTTAATATATAAATATTATAATAAGTATTACATTTATCACAAATCTGTACATAAAAATAAAATTGGAGTGTCTGTTTGTAATATTGAAATAACCGTTTATTTCAACGTGTATATAAATATATATATATATATATATAAAGTAAATGCATCAAAATGAAATTTTTTTACAATTTTTGTCTGCCTGTTTGTTTGTTCCTGGTAATCTCTGAAATGGCTGGACCAATTTTAACGGGACTTTTATTGGAAGATAGCTGATATAATAAAGAGTAATTTAGGTTACGTTTATTTTAGAAAAAAATCTTTTATTTTATAAAAATAAAGTATTGTCGCAATGTCCAAGTCCTGTCCTGTACCGCGCGCATCCCAAAGATATTCACGCGGACGAAGCCGCGGGCACAACTAGTTTACAATAACATTTGACCAGAATTAAGTGAGAATTAGGTAACTTATATCAAGATTTTTTTTAATAATAACATCTTCTTTTGACATATAACATTGAATAAAACAAATATAGATTTTATCGTGTTGCATACTAATCGCTGTTGCCATCTTCATATTGACCACTTCCATATTGAATAAGAGTCGTTAATAAAAAAAAAACAATAATTCCGACGCTTATCAAGACATTCAGATTTAAAAACATAGCTAAAAATGAATAGAGTATCGAACACCTAAAATCTTTTGAACACTAAATTTAATATGTGACTACTAGTAGTTATTTCCATTGATAATATTATAATTATAACATAATAAATAAAATTATAATCTTTAATATCGATGATAAATAACATCAAATCGATCTCAAAAGTCTGAACCTCGAAAACCAGTCACGAACCAAAGTATTTTTTAATCGACCCTCAAAAATAAAAAATAAACATACATTAGTTGTATTGACATTTAAAAATAAGAAATAATATAATAGTTTAGAGGAAAATTATAAACTTCCTTTCCGCAAATCAAAAAGCAAATCTTTAATTTTGGATTTGTGATACCGCCACCATAATTCGTATTATAATTTCAAGGTTAAATTAAGCTATAAAATTTTGTGTAAAGCACAATGGCTGTACAAATTGGTTTCCTTTTACACCATTTTTTAATTGATATTTAATTTGTAAATCACAATTAACTGTTAATTTAATATTACAAAAGATAATTTCGACAGCCGTTATTTTACTTAATCATCGACATTCCATAACCAATAAGTAATCTATTAAATACTCTATACTGAAATACTCGTTATGTTTACTAAGAGTCAAAATATCTGGTCGTAAAGAACATATGGTTTTAAAAAAAAAACCGTTGCTAAAAAATCTTTACTAATTGCATTATGTTTTATTTTTAGCGTAAAACTATCCAAAAACGTTTTTTAATCTAATCATTTTTTTAAGTTGATTTATATTTACAGTTTTAGAGATATCTGAGGAAGTTTCCTTTTTTCCAATGTTTTAGATTATTGTTGACTTACTTAAAGAATTATAAGAGGATAGGTATTTCTAAGCAAAATAGAACTTTAATGTTCCTCACGCTTATTTTGTACTAGCTGTCGCCCGCGACTCCTTACGCACGGTATTGAAAAAAACTTAATTAGTAGCATACGTGTTCTTTCAGACTATTCTACATCTATACCAAATTTCGCTATAATCCGTTGGGCCGTTCCAGAAATACCTACAAACATCCATCCATCCAAACATTCGCATTTATAATATTAGTAAAATTTTTAAAAGACATCAAGCTTTCAGTCATTCGGATTGTAAATGATTTGGAATTGCGTCGTATCGAAGTGTCCTTGCTGAAATATCACTTACTATTGTTAGTATTGAAATTATTTTTATGCAAGTGTACGTGTTACATTATATTTATGCAAATGGACGTTATCAAGATGAACTTGGCCGCTTATTGTCTAGGTGAACCAATTAGGCGTGTATTGTCTTACAAAATCACAAGGATCCTGACAGAATTAATACGTACAGTTTATGCGCAGTTTTCAGAACTTCAAATGTCATATTAACAACAAAGCTTAATTTTAAATCTAACCTTTACAAATTATTGCTATGATGAACAATTATTAATATACATTCTTAGTTACATATAATTATAATTTACACCTTGTTTTTATTAATTAACTTAATTCAAACAAAAGCGGTAAAGAAGTGTATTAAATGCAAAAAACTGACCTGCGATAAATCACTCGGGGCCTCTGATTTGACAGTATTGGCAGCTGCCCATGCCTCGGCGAATGTCTCCATAGCACTCTGAAAGTCCATTTTTGTTACAGAATCACGACGACATCGGCATAACGAAATTTCACTGAAACATGCGCCCGGTGCGGGCAATACTATAACCGCAGACACGTTCGCTTCGGCCGGCCGGCGGCGCGGTACTGACTCCGCTCGGCCCCGCCCAGCGAACCGCCCGCGTCGAGAAAAACCGATACCGGCCGAGCCTTACCGTTTCAGCGCTTTTCTTTTTTAAGCCGCTATTTTAACGAGTTTCGGTGTTTTTTTTTTTCATTTCATCTAAAGCCCGGCCCACGGTGGTGGTTGGGCGGCCTTTAGATTTATTTACACTTGTAATTCGCAGTGTTCTATGCAATATGCGAATGCTAAATTTGTTGTACGGATGATGGATGCGAGCGAGGCGTTATCTTGTTATACGATTACGCGCCGTATTGAGCGCTACGTAATTCGACGTCACTCGGCTTCATTTACACTCATATCTTCCAGTTGCGCGACTAACAAACTATTATATCCCCTTTAAACAGCTATACAGAACACGGTTTACAAACTAATTAGCAAGATTACTCATTGAACTAAATTTATAGGTCTATAGATTTTTATTTAATTGAACATTACCGCGGACGTAATTTAGCATGATTTTAAAAAAAGGCTATCAAATCAGCTAATTGCAATAGAGTGGCAAATGGGCGAGGCGCAGAGTACCCGTGGAGGAGGCATTTTTATTCATTAAATAAATCACAGCAGCTTCCCGTCTGCTCCGGGATATAGGAAAAAAATTGTCACGGCTTCCTATAATTTTGTACGTGGCCGTTTAAGCGATGTTACCGCCTCGCTTTCCGCTTCTTTCTAATTTTTCTTAATTTTCAAAAGCTTTGTGTTTGCTTCGTAATTACTAATAATGACATAGTTTAATATGACAAATCATTTTATCAAGTTAATACCGAAGTTTTACAGTGGGTTCAATTTTATATAACTTACAGTCCATTTTTGTTCTTGTATACGCGAAAATAATCACTATATGAATGATAACATAAAGGTATAATAATATTTAAATAAAATTTTACTAATATTATACATGCAAATGTTTGGATGGATGTTTGGTTGAAGGTATCTCCGAAACAGCTCAACGGCTTTCGATGATTTTGCGCATATGTAGAAAATAGCTTGGACGAAGACATAGGCTACTTTTTATTCCGCAAGGACGGAGTCGCGGGCGACAGCTAGTCTGACATAAAACCAATTCAAAACTGAAAACTCATACGCAACAGGTTTAAAATTATTTAAATAAGCAAAGAAAAATCCACAAGTTATTGCGCAGCGATGAATCTGTTCTGTAGTGTTTCAGTTAATTATATATATACAGTTTTATTTATACATATGTATTTATAACGATTAAATCATATTATATAAGAGATATTTAACTTTAACTAGATGGTAACATACAACCTGTCATAGTTCTGCAGATGTCGAGACAACTTTATTTATTTAATCTTTCCATTTATTTGCGTTGCGATATCTATACAGTGTATACTACAAGCTGTCAACCGCGACTCCGTCCGCAAGGACTTAAAAAAGACGTTATTAGTAGACTCTAGTTCTTCCAGACTATGTTCTACATCTATGCCAAATTTCAGCAAGATCCATGCAGCCTTTCTGGAGATACCTTCCACATATTCTCTTTTTTGATTTTAGTAAGATGTTATATTTAAAGCCTGATTATTTTAAGAATCAATTAACGAGGTTCAGGCTAAGCGCCATCTGCGCTCGGCCACCTCAAGCCCGGTGAAACTGTAAATGCCTCCTCAAGGCAAACAGTGACTACTCAGTCACAAAAAAAAATTAAGAATCAATTGCTGTAGCTGTTTGTATGTTAAATGTTTTGTTAAAAAAAGATACTTCATACATTTCATCATACATCCCTCCCTACTGATATGACCTTGTAATAGTAATTTAGCAAAAATCGAGTTTCTAAAACAAAGTGACGAAATTTTAAAAACTATAATTCGCCTTGTCAATCTTGACCCGCAATTTTTTGTAAATTGACATAATCTTTAGATTTAATGTGATATAACTTTGCTACTAATAAATACTAGGAGTTAAATATTAAGGAATTTGAATTTCTCTAAAAAAACGTTTTTTGCCTTTGATTATTTGCTACAGCGTACTTTCTTGCTCCTTATTTCTTTAAAACTCCAAACTTTAGTAGCTTCTTTTACAGTATGACTACCAATTAGAACTATCTTTTGATTCATTTTGTTTTAATATTACCTGTTGCCCGCGACTCCGTCTGCGCGGTATTAAAAAATAAGTAGCCTTTGTGTTCTTCCTGACTATGTTTTACTTGTATGCCAAATTTCATGAAAATTTGTTGAGCCGTTCCGTAAATACCTTCAAACAAACATGCATTCATCCATCCATCCATCCATCTATGTACTTTCGTATTTACAATTAGTAAAATTGCAAAACTCATTGTTTAAAAATCGCCTCAAAATACATTAAGAAGCATAAATACGTTTAATAATACCCATCATATTTCCCTGAAGATTATCAAAATATTAACTCGAAGCGGCACCCTTAAGTAGACAAGAGATCCGTTACAAAGATAAAAACATTGAACGTAAGTAGGGCAATAGCAATATAGGTAGCGATCCGTACCTTTGTTTATACCGATTCTTTTGTCTCTCCGACTCGGATAAAACAAAAGAAAACATCAATGGAGCACAAACAATCACCGCTCACTGAAAACCGTACTAAGTAAAGAATTTACGATGTACTCTACAATAAAAAGGACCTGTTTAGTTTATTCTATAATCTTTTTAAAGAATTAGATATAGGAGTAATCCAATAAAAGGTAACTAATGCTCTGTTCTCTTCATCTTGCCTTTTCATTTAAACGTAGGTTTCAACTACGATATATATAATATTTAGACAATACTTTTTTGAATAATGTATAAAACTACGCGTAGCTTCTATTGGGGTACTTATTTAAGTAGCTGAAATACACGGATGTTGATACCAGTTGGCTGCAACGGACATCCACTTAACTCTTATTATGCATACTAAAATTAGGTTCACTAAAAATACTTATTCACTTCGCTATTTCAGCGATTTAAGGCCGCTCGCTCGTTTGTCACCTTGTAATTTAAAAATGCTATTTGTTGTTGGACTTTACCCCAGGTAGAGGCGTTGCACAAATTTTACGAAATTGTTCTAATATTCATACAGTCTTACCTTACCTACGTCATAAAAATAATAGTCAAATCATTGTAACTGTGCGTAACTGTGAAGTGTGAATTAATATAATATAGGGTCAATGTTTAACACAACGTTTCGCAAGTATCAAATTATGCTAAAGGAATAATTGTTTTTAAGAAATAGGAACATAAATAACTCCGGTACGTAACATATCAAATATTCATTTAACACATTCGTATTTGTCTTGTGACGTTTCGTGCTAAAAATATCAAAGATATATTGAACTTTGATTTCAACTTGTTAATAACCCAAAAATAGTACGACACAATAAGCAATGTAGATAAATTATTTGTAAAACCAATGAAATCTTAAAGAGAATGGTGAAAACCAGTCTTGGTTTCATAATTGTATCATTATCATCGTCAATGTGTACTTATCCCTACGGAGGGTCGGCACAGTACGTACTACTCATCCATACATCTATCAGCTGTCATATCTGAATCCACTCCCTTCTTACGCATATCAACTTTCACGCAATCCATCCATATTTTCTTTGATCTTCCTCTACCTTTGGAGCCATCCATTTTCAATTTCATTACTTTTTTAAACAAATGAAATATTTTATAATTGTTTAATTTAAATAATATTTAATTTAATTGTTTTATAGTGGTTAGTTATTTAGTAAGATTATATTTTGAATAAGTTTCCATGATGTACATTATAATATACTTATAACCTAAATATTTAATGCTTTGTGTAAGTCAGAATTTAAATGAGAATGTTTTTATGGATGTAAATAGAGAGAATACATAAATAATTAAATGGAGTGTATTACGAAAAAAAAAATATTACTTAATTATTAAATTCAAAAACAAGACAGAATCTTACGTAAAGAGAGTTGTGTGGTTCAAATCACTGAAATTATCAAGTCCTTTTAGTCATATTCTTAATTTACATTTATCATTCATCGTTCATTCGTTTTTTGAATTTACATCACTAATTTTAATACCAATCTGAAATGACTAAATCGTGTTACAAACAAATCTTCCACTATTCACACTAATGCGTAAACACTACGAAATCATTTCATAAGCAACCATATAGGTATCGGAAACTGACAATCAAATTTCCCATAATACTATTGAGTCACGATTGTAAAATAAGAGCCACCAAATTGTTTAAGCAAACACGATGGATACGTCAGTAACTGTCCGCTATTAACGCCTGAATAAAGTCTTTTATCTTTTTAGCGGCTCCTGGTTTCTAGTTTAGACGAGCATGTGTGTTTACAAACTTATATTGTAGCTAACAAAATATGATTCGTTCAACAATGATCTTTATAACAAAGCAATAAGACTCACTTTAATGTTTATGAAATGAAAATAAAATTCGTTTTCTACTAAGGGCCCTTAAGCGGTGTTCGGTCTGAACTCGATTCACTCACGTATCGTATGTGTTGTTTTTTTTTGACAGTTGTTTAAGAATTATCTCGTTTTAGGAAAGTAGTACAAAATGGCAACTCACTTATCTGCATAGATACAGTGTGTTATTAACTATAGGAAATTATATTCTAGGCTGAATAGTTGAAATAAAATCTAGAAAATAATATTATATTATTAAAATATGCACCAAAGCTTCATTTATAGAAAAAGAAGACTTTATATTATTGAATATTTTAATAAACCTACAAACAAACAGCATTTAGTTAAGGAAGTCATTGTCTATAGAGTATGTATCCATAACTTTTTTTCTTTAGTTTTTAACTTTTAGATAATTTCTGTTTATGAAATTTGAAACTTTATAAGTTACAAAAAGTACAGTCCCTTAGTGTTGCTTTTTATCACTAAATAAAACCTACAATAGCATAAAATAGACTCTGAGTGTAGTTAAAAATATTAAGTAACACTATAAAGAGATATATATGATTTAAGGCGCC